ACCTCTTCTAACCGGTTCGGTAGATTTGACGAACCGGTTCTACCGAACAGGTGCGAACCGGTAGGAACCCACCTCTGCTCCCACCCAATCGGGAGGAGGGTACTGTCCATATCTAGGTCCCAATATGTTATACATCCAATATATTTTCCATACCATGCCTAGAACTGACTTTTCATTGAAAGAGGCCGATCTTCTTGGATCCTCTGTGGCTAAATATACTCCCCCTTCTCCAAATCTTTACCCCAAAAGAAAGTTTTGGAGATAGAGAGGAAGATATTCAAGCTGGTTGGATTGAGGAGTGGTTCTTCAGGTTTTAACTCCCTCTTCCTCTCTTTCCTGGACATGTCTTCTTCAGCTGCCCAAAGGTTCCAAGTGAAGCATGGTTCCAATTCATATCATCCACTCTTCAATTGCTTCATGTTCCAAAGAAGTCCATCTAACTTTCCAAGATATGGCTGGATCATCTCACCAGACCCTGCCTAGTTAGCTTCTAGCTGTGAAGAGTCTTGCAAGGGCCTCTTCCACAACCTTTCCCAGAGGGTGTAACCCTAAACAAGACCACTAGCCCAGCCTCTCCAGACACAGGCACAATAATTTGTGAGGAATTAGCCTCTGTTTATTATATCTGCTGCTTTTATTTGGTTTGCTGTAATTGTGTTTAAATTTGTTTAAAGCCGACGTCTGATTTTATTAAAGTTGCCTTGATTTTGAATGTTGTGATTAGTACTCTAGGCTGCCCTAGGAAGACTGGAGTTTTCAAAAACAAGAGGGAAGGAAGAAGGGCTCCCTAACCAGGAAGTTGTGGTTGAGGACAACCCTATGAAGTTTTTTAAAGCTGGTAACAAAAAACTGGTGGAGATGTGATAGACAATTATATGCAATTTCCGACCTGATTAGAGAGAAGCCGGTATTCTTACCAAAACACTGGATCAATTTCTGCCTCAGTATGGAAGTGTTCCATTTTCATGCTGGCTCTGATGAAACCATATATGAACATCTTGCTGATTTATCATAAATTAAAATCATTCCTTCCAGATCTGGAATGGCCATGTTTCTGAACCATGTGTAAGCCACAATATAATGAGTAACATTTGTATGACAGCAACATTTTACTCAGAATTTGTCTCATTGCTAATGTAAGTCAGGTTCATTTGGTCAGATTCTCCCTCTCTCTCTCTCGGAGAGCAGGCCACACCTACAGAAGAGGTTCCAGAAATTTTTGAAATTTTTGAAACCCACCACTGCCACACACACAAACACAGAGAGAGAGAGAGACAGACAGACAGACAGACAGACAGACACAGAGAGAAAGAGAAAAAGAAAGAAAGAAAGAAAAAAGAAAGAAAAAGAGAGANACAGAGAAAATGGAGACCTCTTGTTGATTTATGCTTTATGGCCAATCAACTGTGTTGCTACTATTTGTGCGGTGTCTCTGACATCCTGGTATTCTAAAGAAACAAAGCAAAGGCTTGGATGTATAAATCTAATTATAATCAACTGGCTTTAGCTTATGCAAGTATATTGTACCTACCACGGATTAACATGTAGCTGGATTCTGCCTGGAAGTTTACTTTGCTGAGAAATTCTAAAGCGTTGCTTAATTGCTTCCCATCCAAATTGCTGTCTGGCAACTTAAAGCCGTTGGTCTGTTCAGCAAAACAACTTAAAAAGAAACTACACAATTTCCCAAGCAAGCAAGTAGGATCCATTTCTTAATTTTTTAGCTCCGAAGTAATAATAATTTTAACAGGATTTTCTTTTTGAACTCTTTAAAAGAGACTTATATTCTTTCTTCCCCTCCCCCAAAATTGTCTCTCTGTATAATAATTGATTAGGAAATGTATAGTCGATGAGAGATTTTTATATACATAAAATTAGTCTCATGCAGAACTAATAACACAAATAAAACTTTGGAGCGGAGTAAAATTAGTTTGATAAGCAATTCTAGGATTAAGATATCCTAAGATACAACTGCTCCACATCTTATCCAGCATTTTGAATCAATTTCACCTCATTGTGGAAATACTTTCTTTAAAAACAAGCAGTGTCAAATTTAAAAAAATCAGCTGGAAAATGCATTTAATTACTTGATTATTTGAATTCGCAGGGAGTTTTGTTCTGCAATGTTACAACATTTCTTCTCCAAACAATTTCCATGCCAGAATTCAAACCGATATTTGTTCACCCAAACAAACAAAAAATGTGTTAGAAAAATAGCGATTGAAATGAGTCTTACAAAGCAATTACAACCTCTAGAATATGCTTTCCTCCGGTGAAAGGGATCCTTTGCTTTCTAGATTTTCCATCATAGTGTGGGAAGTTATCACACGCAATGTTCTGATTGCACCACAAACGCAGTAGTCATCTTTAGCTTTCACAGAGGCCCTGAGTTTTATAAATATGAGCATGATAGTGTAGAATAATCATATCCAAGGACCAGTGGTGGGTTTCAAAAAANAGGTGTGGGAGGAGTCACTTCCCCCCCTTGTTTAGCGTGCCCCACGCCAGGGGCCTGAGTTAGCTTCGTGGTCATTCAGGCTCAATAGGAAGGATAGGTGCTTGCGCTGTTCTGTGTTCTTTCCTTCCATAACTCTGCTACGACTATCGGTTAATCTGGGAGAGCAAGAGGAGGATCAGAGGTGTGGCTTCAAAAGATTATCCTCAGACTCCAAGGGCAAGAAGGCTGGGTTAATACCCAATGGTTACTCCTCCCACACCTACTCTTAAACATGCAGTTCAGGTAAGACCAACTGCCAATTTATGCAACATCAGGCATGATCCATCTATTTTAAAATTATTTCACTAAAACTGACCGAGTTAATATATTCCCAAAGAAATAAATGAGACAGCACAATTCAACTCTACAGTCATCTCTTTAATAGATTTTCTTCAGCAGACTAGGCCAGCTTTTGCAGTAGTAGCTTCAAGCAGAATAATGTATGTTTATAATTTTAAGAGTAAGGCTAATTCTGCTGACTGCCAGCTCCTTTAATGCTCACCGGCTTGGGGTTGACTCACCTTCCATCCTTACAAGATCGGTAAAATGAGGACCCAGACTTTTGGGGGCAATATGCTGATTCTGTAAACCTCTAACTCTACAGAGCGGGCTGTAAAGCATTATGAAACAGTATATACGTCTGCTAATGCTTAAAAAAAAACATTTGATAGAAAACAGACTGTGTGTGTGTGTGTGTGAGTGTGAGAAAAAGAGAGAGAGAAATCCCACCCCTAAACTCCCTAGATCAGTGACAGCTAACCTTTTTGTCCTCACATGCTGAAGTCCATACCCACAATGCAATGCGCCCCACCCCCTGTGCATGCTCGCATGACACTTCTCGCACTCTGCATGTGCATGTGTGCAACCACCCCTTATTTTGGGCATAGCAGGCCTCCCTGAAGTCTCCTGGGACCAAACCTGGGGGCCGGGGAGGCGCCGCACACCCCCCCCCCCAACACCCCATTTTTGACCTAGCAGGCCTCCTTGAAGCTTCCTGAAACAAAAAAATGGGGCACAGGGGAAGCACCGCGCTCCCCCCGTGCATGCATGCATGACAAACCCCTCCCCGCTGGCGGGAGGCACAGCTGCATGCATGGTGGCACTGAGCTGGGTGATGACTCGTGTTCCTGCAGAGAGGGCTCCGCATGCCACTAGTGGAATGCGTGCCATAAGTTCGCCCTCACAGTCCTAGGATCTTCATTATTTTTCAGGCCAGGTGGAGAGTGAAATAACATGAGCTACTATTACTTATCTTTTTTATTCAAAATAGGCTTATAAAGTCCAAAAGCATTCATAGAAATGGTAATTTGTTTTTGAGGGAGTTTATTTTGCAGCATATTGACTACTGTTTTATTTTATTTTTATTTTTAAAATCTTTTAAAAAATAGGTTTGGCATAGGGCATCAAATTTAGCTATCCAGGATACAGTGTGGCAGAGAGCTTAGTTTAGAATATGACATGTTTTTAGGCAAGTTACTGTCAGCCTTAACTTCCTTAACTTTTGAACATTGGGATAATTTGATTGATTTGTCCTAACAGACCCTAGTAATGAATGAGACCGTGACATCTTTTGGACATTTTAAATCACAGTAACACAATAGATGTGATTATTGTACTGTGATTCGTGGCTGAAAAAAGAATCACTGTTGTTTATTCCGTAAGGAAAAGTTGGTGATCTTTATATATTTTTTTCTGCTTTGCTTAGATAGTGCTGTATCTTCGGATGTGTCTTGCTCACAGTGCTGGTGTGGTGCCTACTTCTCAGAGCTTAGCTGATATGCAAGATCACGCTCCAGCCATTGGCCGTTATATAAGAAACCTCCTCTCTGGAAATGTTATAACATCTTCATCCTCAAAGGGTGGTGAAAGCAATCCTGTACAGATCTATATAAGTCTCCTTCAGCAGTTGCTCTCTGGTGTTGGAGGTGAGAAGCACACATGTCACAAAGCTTAAAAAAATTGTTTTATTGCCTTTATCGTGAATGAGTAATATACTGCTTCAAAAGATGAATTCAGTATCCATTGTTGGTCATTTTGTTAGTGTGAGCAGATTCAGTTCCTAGAAATGTAAGGTCTGTTTTAATGCAATAAATTAGGTCAAAGCCACCTGTCTTTATGAGGCTGATACTTTGAAGCTCCAGTGGTTCCAGTTTTAGAAGAACTAAAAAGTGTATGTTCAGCGAGTATATTTTGGGCAAACCCATTGTTTTGAAAACTGCATAATTTTGACAGGGTGATTTTTTTACATTTAAAAAAAACAATTTTTATATTCCAGTGACCTAATTGGAATATAAATTGAGTGATAGCCCCTCTTACTGTAACCCTTGGCCAGTAAAGAAGGAAAAAAATGGAAGTGTAATTTTTGGCAGAGAAAAACTGCCCATTCTGCATGAGAGCTAAACCAAGCTTTAGCTGATTTAGAGATCTGTTCTCATTCGCTAGTCAGATCTGTCTGTCCTCAAACCAGGCATAAAAGCAATGTATTTTACCAATTACTTACTACCTATCTATACAGAGGTTCTGTGCAGATATCAAGTGGCATAATCAGTGTTAGACCTAAACTTTGTTTTTTCTCCCAGTTCTTTCAAAAATAGATGCCTTAAATTTTAGGCTATTGCCAGGACTTCTACTTTACCACGTGTTTAACTGAACATTTTCATTACCGTAGCCGTATACTAATTCAAGATACTAGATAATAATTTCATCTTCTGACGGGGGAGTGTGGATAGGAGTGAAAAACTATAAGGGAAGCGGCTAACTAATTTTCAGAAGTTAATTTGCTAAAGATAACTGAAAAAAACCCGCAGGTTTTCTAATCTTGCATTCCCTGCTATATATTTCTTTTTCCACTTTTTGGCATCTCTTTCATTGATTCCAGCATTCTAGGCTTTCCCCATCCCTGTCTTACTATCACTTCCTCTTATCACAGCGACACCGGAAGTGGCATCACTTCCAGTATCGCAAGATTTTGGCAGCTGCGCCACTCATTCTTCCATCTTCCCTGCTTTTGGGTTCTGCGTGGGTGAGTCACTGACAGTGTGGGTTCATATCTTATTGCTTAAGTTTTGAATTGCATTTAGGTTTATGTCTCATTTTAAGTTGGGCGGGGGGAGGGATCCAAACTGGCCTTTCTCCAGTTTTTTTTTTAATTGTAAGTATTAAATGCTTACAACCTATCTTTTAAGCAATTACAAGAGATTTATTATAAAACAGTCAATCTCAAAATCAAATAAATTTGACTTTGAGATGTTTTGGGCTCTATAGATAGATGCGCCACTTAGTCTTGGAATGTGTTTCATTCTCATTGCCTGAACTGAAGTATCTGTTATGAATGATGAGATGAGCTTGGATTGGCTACGGTAGCTTTTTTTTTTCCAGGAATGATTTGCTAGTGCATCCAAAATGTTAGTAACATAGAATATGTTGTGGCCTTGAAATTCCACAATAGCACACAAGTTTTTGTTGCATCTCTATGTCATAACATTTATTAACAAAATACTATGCATGCACAATGCCGATTGCTGTGTGGGTCAACATATGTTGTACAGCTAAGTCCTCGACTTACGATCACAATTGGATCAGAATTTACA